GTTGCCGTCCGAGTTGTGGGGGACGAAGGCGACCTGCAGGATCGAGTCCTGGTGGCCAAAGAGGGCCTTGTGGCAGTCGCCAAAGTCGAGGCCCCATATCCTAATGTTCTTGTCGGCGGAGCTGGTGACGATGAGCTTGCTGTCGTACGAGATGTCCATGCTCAGCACCGGGAGCTTGTGGCCGTAGAGGTTGAGGTAGAGCTTCAGGCTGTCGGTGAAGAAGACCTTGACGGTGTTGTCGAGGAGGGAGACGGCGATGTACTTGGCATCGGGAGAGTATCTCACGCAGAGGATGTCGTCGGACACCTTGAGTGTTTTTGACTGGACGAGCTTCAGTTTAGGTGTCGTGCGCGTGGTGCCCAGAACCGGCTCCTGGACAATCTTAAAGTCCCAAAACTTGGCTGACTTGTCGGCACTACCCGATGCCACCGATTTGCCGTCGGGGTGAACTTGTAATGACCAGATGGCCCCTTCGTGCGCCGAGACGCTGTCCAAAAGACTCGCAGACGCGACATCAAAGAGCTCGAGCTCTCCCGTCTTCGTTCCGACCACGACTACCTTGTCTCCGGGCAGGAACGCGCAGCAAAGAGCGTACCCGCACTCAAAGGTGCGGATGCAGGCCTGCGTCTTGATGTTCCAGACCTTCAGACTTCCGTTGGCAGCCGTCGCCAACATCTTGTCGTCAGAGCTGAGCGACACAGCGCGGATATCTGTCCTGTGTCCGGGGAGCTCCACGGCCAGCGACCGCGTGTAGTCGGGCACATCCTCCTTCTTCGACTTAGAGCCTTCTTTCGTGGGTATGCTGTAGTATTCGAGTTGGTTGTTTGTCGTCCCCGCCAGCAAGTGTATTTCCTTGCTCCCGCCATTGACCGCCCAGTCGACCGACCGCACCTTGCCGCCCGTCCGGACAATCACGTACTGAACGAAAAAGTCGCTAGCCTCCGCGGTGGAGATGTCTTCTGCCTGATCCTCACCCTCGGCCGCAGCATCGGCCTCCCCTTTCCCTTCTTTGCTGGCCTTTTCACGTCTTCTTCTCCTCTTGCGAGCCAGGGACTTCTTGACCTCTGCCTCCGATCTTATGCGCCACACCTCGACGGCCTTTTCCACGCCGTGGACTGCGAAGTAGTCTCGGCGGGGGTGAAAAACTAGCTCGATAGCCTTGTCCTTATGCTGACGGAACAAGGTCCCTCTGTCGTGGAGGAATTTCGTATTTTGCGGAGCGTCGACTTGACCCTTCAAAGCGGCGAGTCCTGTCGTGTCCAGGAACCACACCTTCAGCTCTCCGTCGTTTCCGGCCGTGATGCAACCGCTGTAGTCAGGGGAGAGTCCCAATGCCCAGCATTCGCCGTTCGTCTGTGCGATGTGTGTCTCGATGCAATGCCTCGAGGACAAGTCCCAGAGCTTGATCAGGGAGTCCTTGCCGGTTGTAAGAAGGTAGCCCTCTGCTGACGGGTCGTTGTCCAACATTGCCGTGTTCTCCTCATCTTCGACTTGCCCCTCCGGCTCGACGAATTGCAGTCCTGTGATCTGATCCTTGTGTCCTCTCAACTTGAACTGGCCGACCTCAGCCACAAGATCCCAGATAATGACATCCGTATCGCGGGAGCCACTGGCCAATCGCACGCCCGACTTGTCGAACGCCAGTGTCGTAATCGCCGACTTGTGTCCGTTGAAGTTGACAATAATCGTGGCGATCTTGCTATCCCATAACCGAATGCTTCCATCTTCGTATCCGACCGCGAAAATATCTGTGTCGACTTTGCTCTGCACGATCGCAGTAACGGGTACCGTGTTTCGTTCGTCTCGCCACCTGCTGAGGAGCTCGCCCTTCTTGATATCCCAGCACAAGACATCCTCGTTCGCGGCTACGATTGCCTGGCCGGCGCCGTTGCCAGCTCTGCCTTGGGGAGCCCAGGCGAGGTTTGCTGTGTTGGATGCGACAACGCCGAAAGACTTGCTATGCTCGTACTTCCTGCGGGAAAACAAGTGTCAGAGACAATCTCAAAGTCCTCAACAAATACGAAACCTTACAAGTATGATTTAACCATTTTGGCGGAATTTCTGACGCCCAAAAAGTCCTTTGTCAATGGCTCCTAGAATGCGACGAGAAAACCAATCGTCAAAATCTCGAACCTCCCACCTTCCAATCTTTCAAAAAGTTTCCCTCACCTTATCGATAAGACCAGAAGATAAGTGGAGAGCGACCGATAGTGCCGAAGTATATCCGCAATCAATGGTCCCGCATGAGCATCACAGCCACAGAAGCTCCGACAGCGACCTCCACGTCAGGCGGGCCCCACCACGAGGCATCATCAGCATCCAACGACGCAACAACATCACAGGAGACGTACGGACAATTGGTTGCAGACAATATGCTTCTCCTCGACTATCAGAATGTTCTGATTCAATCGGTCCTCACCGAGAGATTCTCTGGGTATGTTGATGAGAACCATTGTAGCCCATGTTCGGCTAGCTTGCTAACTTCCAAGGCAGTGCCCCTCCTGCGCACATCGACCAGACCGTCTCCGATTTCGACGGCGTCATCTACCACATCTCGACCCCCGAGACGAAGACCAAGATTCAGCTTTCGATTCAAATAAGGTGCTACAAGGACTTGGTCAAGTACGGCGCAGAGCAGGTGCTGCAGAGAGAATATGGACAGTATGTGGTGCCGCCGGAACCCGGCTACGACTTCTCGGTATTGATCGATTTGGAGAACCTCCCGGAGGAGAAGGGTTTGTTATCCTGCAGTGATACCGGGCGATAATTGGGCTGACGGAACATGCAGAAGAGAAGGATGCGCTGATCATGAAGATGGCGCTGCTGAAGCGTAACGCCATGGCTGCACCTTTCGAGGCCGCTTACGAGGAGCACTACAAGCTGAAGGAGGAGGCATCTAAGTACACGTCTGAGGAGGCCCCGCAAGGCGTCCGCGAGGGCGGCGAGGTTATGGCTATCCACTACCGCGAGGAGGAGGCTATCTACGTCAAGGCCAGCCACGACCGTGTCACGGTTATCTTCAGCACGATCTTCCGCGAGGAAACCGATCGTGTCTTTGGCAGGATCTTTATTCAAGAATTCGTCGATGCCCGTCGGCGAGCTATCCAGAACGCTCCCCAGGTGCTCTTCAGGAACGACCCCCCCTTGGAGCTCCAGGGAGTCCCAGGCGTTAGAGATACCGGAACCGGCGAGATCGGATACGTTACCTTTGGTAAGTGTTTCTACCCAAAATGTGTTTATGGATTTGCCATTGACTTTTTGTGATAGTGCTTTTCCCTCGCCACCTTACACCACAAAGAATGCCGGACTGCATCTCCCACATCCAAACTTTCCGCGACTACTTTCACTACCACATCAAGGCATCGAAGGCGTACATTCACTCACGAATGCGCAAGAGAACTGCCGACTTCCTCCAAGGTATGATGCAGGTCGATCTCGGGGTGAATCTTTCAACTAATGCCACGCAGTTCTTCGCCGCGCAAGACCCGATAGTGAAGAGAAGGAACGGAAGACGGCAAGCGGTCGCACTTTCAAGGTCCAGGGAGCGTAGGCTAGTTAGGAAGCGTGCTCGCCGTATCCCCGAAATACGCAGCACACGAATCGGTGAGAGGGACTCGCTGGATAGTCCCCTTGAAGATATGTCCAGAGCGGAGACATTTCGAAGCTGTATAAGCAAATGCGATAACACGAGTTCCCGCCCACAGCTGAAAGCGATAGCAAGCCGAGAGGTTTTCTGGCACCTTAGTAGAAGAAGAAAAAAGACTTTCATGACCACTAGCCCTGCAGACTATACCTTATCCTCGGAATACTCCTGATGAAAACCGGAAGCAGCTTGGCAGTAATGAAATCGGGAGCGATTCTGAGCTGGTGAGCCGATCATCGGCCTCGAGGCGTGGACGGGCCTTTTCGAGGTAGGGCGATGAGACGGAGATGGAGAAACCTTTTGCAGATGATGCGCAAACTGCAGCCGGGACGGGGCCACCGGGAAGGGGGTGGGAAAGCTGGTGACGGTGTTTTGACGGCGGTGCATCCATGGAACATTAATGGCGGCGGTTGCTTGATGTGCCGGATCGACGTCTCCACCCCAACGCTAACACCGGCGCCCGATGGGAAAGGTTCCCACCTCAAGTCTTCCCAAGTGCCTACGGAGTACAGTAGTGTTAGTTGCATACGAATGGAGACCAGGGCTGATCCGTGTACGCAGTATGTTGTACATGAATGCATTGTTGACGGCCAAACCGGGATTGTTCATGTGAACAATCATGAATCAAGCCGGCCATACCCTAATATGTATGGGAATTTGTTCGTGGCTTTACTGCCGGCCGTCCGATGTGTGGATGCTGCCACGGCGAGAAAGTCGAAATATTCGAACTAGGCATGCGTATAGAGAACCTGATGTTTGGATGAACGAAGGGGGGGATGTAACATGTGGTACCCCTATCTGTATCCATAGGTATATGGCGTGGCTCTCTGCATAAGAAGAGTCTATCTATTGCTCTTAGGGGACCATCGTTCGTTCCTCTCAAGCACGTAATCCAGGTCGCATAAAGCTGTTTCCTCGTGGAAGGAAGAGATTGGGTTGTTTCGTTTGTGTGGCGAGGTTTTTTGGATTGTGTAATTCACAAGGTAGTGAGTGAGTGGGCTTTCGACACCGCGCATAATGGTGAACTAAAGTGGTTTCTTTTGGAAGAGGGGACCCGATACGTGGGTGGGCGGGCAAACGCGCCGGACAGAGAGGGCGTTCCATTCTCCTTTTCTGCCTTGGGTTTTCCGCGATTCGCGTTCGTTGGAACTTATCCTCCACTTTGAGCACTGCCCACTGCGTTCCTTATGCTAGGTAGTTCGGTTTCCTACGTTTCCCTGCTTTGCGCCGTCCACAATCGGACCGTGGCAATTGTTTCCCTCGAAGGAATGGACGGGGTCAATCTTCAAGATACGGAAGCCGTAGTACACAATGAACGAAAGAAGGATGAGCCAATCGATGCATCGTGAGCAATTTGTATGCACTTTATTATGCAGCAGAGGTTGCGATGACAGTTCAATCAATTGGAGAGTGGACGGCTCAGGCCGGGATATCCCCCACCGAGGAATGGGCTGTGAGACCAGCTGGGTTTGAAGATGGGGCGCCGCGGGCCCCCTCGTCCAGTCGTCACGGTCACCTCGGACGACACTGCAAACTGGGAGGAGGGCTTGATGATCCATGCCGCGACGCCGGATCCCCCCCCCCCCTTCGTCATTCTCTAATCCGCACGCTACGGACAGAGCAGGGCAGTCTTTCTCTTCCGCGTCTCTGGGGCGATAATTTACTCGGTGTGAGTTTGTATGTACGCAATACTGATGCTTTGCCTCCCCCGAGTCCTGTCCCCCCCCCCCCCCCCCAAGAAGGAAGGACCTGACCCCTTGAAACTCTCACGAGGTATCCCCATGCACACCGTGGACGGCCAAGTGCGGAAGCCTGAGAGGATGTCCGACTGACTGGATGACAAGCCCTCGGGGCTGCCATCGCATCGCATGGCATCTTTTTTAGCTGAGGTGTGCACGGGACAATAATGCAAGGAACGGCCGGCGCGGAAGGAGGGTTGAAAAACTTGAGACGGATGTGATAGGATGATTGGGGGTTCGGGGTGATTTTGTCTGTGGGAGAAAAACCCCACGTCGCGAGCTGAGGTGGAAAGATGGAAGGGCGAGTGGTCTGCACTTGCCGCGTACCTGACGCTAAAATAAGTGAAGTATCCGTATCTATGTACGGAGTTCCATCCGTACCTGCTTGGCAGTGCCTGCAAATGCGAATGTAACTCGAGATGGGCCAGTCAGAGCACTTTGTCGCATCCAAAGCATCTTGAGCTACTTTCCTCTGGGCAGTGGAACCTCCTGGTGTCTCCTTGATTCCTAAATCCTGAGTGGACGGCGCCTCCTCGACCTTCAAGCTTCCTTCACCCCCACCTGCCGTCAGTCATCTGCCCAGGCACTTCAAGATGTGGCCCGTCTGGTCTCTGGCAGACTGGCACCACTGGCACTCTGTTGTATCGGGCGTAGCGGCAGCTGGGAACTGCTGCAGGAAGAACGTGCGCTGCTTGGGGTCTGGACCGCGGGCGGCCGTCAGAACAGCCAGACACGCCAGACTTCAAAGGTCAAACCGTCAATCATGCCCCAGATTCGGAATAGGGAGGCTGGAAAGGAGGGAGGACCCTCTGAATCTCTCCCTCTCAACGTCTTGGGGGTCCCGAACCTGCGGATGAGATATCTTGATGGGTTCGATCAAGATGTGTTTGGTCTTTTTCTGGATGGCCACGAACCCTTTTTAGGAAACGGGAGACTTTCTCGGTGACATGCTTGCAATGGAAGGGAGGATGAAAGTCTACACCTATACCTTCTTCACCTAGCATATCGCTGTTCTAAGACCAGGCCTTGCTGCTCCATACATAGTACCTAAGAAGGCTTGCCAGGTCTTTTTGTGTGGTCTGCCGCCGATACCACGACACACTGAACGACGCCGATGACCCCCCGGGCATTCTTGACATCGACCCCTGCCTGCTTAGAGCGCTTGGAGGAGCAAAGTGGTACGGATAATGTGAAAGTGGCTCCTCCCAACTGTGACCTGCAGCCTGCAGGACTGTGACTGAGGCACTTTCCTCCTCGTTGATTGCGCTGTTCTTCTTTCTCTGCCTCTCTTTTCGACGTTTGCTCCTTACGAATCCCTTTCCCCCATTCGCCCCGAGATTCCCTTCGCGGAACATCTCTGTCGCTCATTAAGCATCCTTTTCTATTCCACGGGCAGTTTTGACGTCTATCTCGTAGAATCAACATAATATCTCAACCGACGCCTTACCCAGACCGTTTTGCCATCTACCCGGCTTTTCTGCGCTCGGCCGACCACTCACGACAAACAAGGACCACGAGGGCAGAAAAAGAAAAGACAAGACCGCCTGACGCGTAGGCTCAGCGACAAGCAGTTACAGTGACTATACGACAATAAACCCTCGCCTGGAGCAGTACAGAGTATCAGTACACGGTAGACGATAGGAGGACGCCAAGAAAGGATTCGAATCGAATAGTAGAGCCGTTTGGTCAAGGGAACGGGAGAGAGAAATCGACATCTGAAGATCCCCAAAAATCCGAGATTGGGGACAGCGCTGGTCGTCCCTCTCAGAAGCATTCATTGGCCGATGTTGAACTAGAGCGATTTCTCCTCGAGACGTTTAGCTCCCGTGGCGTCACCGGCTTTTCCAACGATCGCCCTTTCTTCTCCTGATAGCTTACCTTACCTACCTTACAGAGTCAGGTAGTAGGTATTCATAAGGTACGCTACCTACGGATACTTCGTACCTGACCGACCTGGCACAGACATCTCGTGTCACGGCAAGAGGCGACACCACAGCAAGACATTTCGGCGGTCCTCTGCGGGTTTGCAAACACACAAGACAAGCACCTCATCAATCCACGTCGGCAACGTAGTACACTCATTTCTCGAAGCTTTCACACGCGACTCTTTCTCAATTTCACCTCTTGGAATCCACACCGAATCAGATTCCCGTCGATTTCCCGTCTCTATCTCTCTCGCTTTCCCCCGCTGCAACTTGCACATCCACACTTACTCCATACATGCAGTCACCCTTTTAGGGCACCTCACAATCATTCATTCTTTCCCCTTTCTTATTCAACATTCGGGTAAAACTTTCTTCTTCGCCGAGACGCCAGCCGCCGACCGACACAAAACGGTTCACTTGGTCTCTCATAAATCGTCTGCTTCATTTCACGTTAGGCGGCCTTCCTGTCATCAAGCTTGCCCCAAGCTAGTCTAAACCGACTGCCAGTCCATCCGAGCACATCTCTACCAGCAGCCGTGGAGCCGTGGCCGCGACTGCGTATCCGTACCTTACTCCGTACCTTACGGCGAGTGGAGGCACCGCTCCGCCCACAAAAAAAAAAGTGTCAGTGCTTTTGATAGGAGGTAAGTGCAACCTAAAGTCACCACCAATTTCCCTGGCGCAGGTACGAGCAGGTACAAGTCTGCAAAGTGGGGCCTGCACCTTCCATTCCAGGCCCCATCTCGTCTGGCGACTCAGCCTCTCTCTCTCCTTCCCTCTGGGCTCTGTCTCTGGCTCTGGCTCTGCGTCTGCGTCTGTGTCTGTCCGCCTCTCCACCAACAAACAACAAAACTGCGGTCGACAAAGAGCAGGGGGAAGAATAGGAAGCGCAGCTCTCACCACCTCGTCGTCGTTGCCATCAAATGGCCACAACTCAGTTCTAACCTTTTCTCTTGTCCGACAATAGAACTGGGCGACCAACTACTCTCTATTTTCTTTTCCTTCTCTACATCCGACAACAGACGCTCGTTTTCACTCCCCCGATTATTCACTAAATCCTCACCTTCTGATTCGACTCGACCCGATTCGACTCCTTCTCTCCGTTTAATTTCGCACCACCGATTCCCGACGCGCCTCCGAACCCGCGACCGATCAAACGAAGCAGCAGACATCATTCTTTTCATGGCCAGCATCCAAAATTAGATTCCTGCAAATGCGACGCGATATCCAGTCCGGTTCCCAAGCATCAAAAATTCTCAATCCAACAGCTTCGATACCCAGCATTCACAGCACCCAACTCACCACCCTCTTGCCGACTAAACAGCAATAGCAATGCGTTTAGCTCTCGGTAAGCGCCCTTCGGCGCGCCGGAGTAAGTGGACGAACCTTCTTGCAGTGGCAGCCCTCGCACCTTCCTCGGTGGCAGCAATCCAGTTCACCCCAGTTTCCGATGCGAACCTCGACCTTTCCCAGCTTGGCAGAATTGGTGTGGCAGGCGACTTCAACGGCATCTCCCTCTACCAGTTTGAGGAGCAGAATGAGAAGCCTTACAGCACAAACGGAAGCGAGTCTTTGCTTTCTCAGCTGCCCAATGGCGCCTTTGCGTCACTCATCTCGACTGATGCCTCAATTCACGACATGTGCACATTCACCCTCGACAATGGAACGATGCAGGGAGTGGTAATTGGCGGTAATTTCACGAGCTTGGATGGCACTCAGTCTCAGGGCATTGCCTTGTTCAACCCCAACACCTCCCAGATCACCCCTCTGGCCGGTCTGTCAGGTCAGGTGAACGCTCTTCTCTGCGACCAAGCTGCCAACACCGTTTACGTTGGAGGTAACTTCAGAGGCGCCAACTCAACAAATGCAATCGCCTGGTACGGCACCGATGGATGGACTAACCTTCCTTTCGCCGGTTTCAACGGCCCTGTTTCGTCCATCACCAAGGCTTCCAACGGCCACATCGTCTTTGGCGGCAGCTTCACTGGACTTGGTAACACTAGCACTCCTAGTACCCCGGATGGACAGGTAATCAACCTCTCGAGTGCCAACATTACTTCGGCCTCGAGCACCTCCACCTCTGGCTTCAGCGACCCTCGCAACATCATTTGCAAGACGGACGGAGCCGATGGCTCTGGCAATACTTGGCTGCTCCGCGACAACTCTGCTGGCTTCTGGCAGGCAAGTTTCGGCTTCGGTTTCCAGCCCACCAAGATGCGACTCTGGAACACCCACCAGGACGGTCGAGGAACCAAGACATTCCGTTTCACTGCTCTCCCTCTGGGCGGTATCTTGAACATGACCTACGTGGACCCCACAACTGGTCAGAACGCTACATGCACTAGCGAGTGCCCTCTCAGCAACAACTCGACCCTCAAGTTCCAGGACTTCCACTTTGTCAACCTCGTCGGAATGAACTCATTCAGAATCGATATTTCCGACTACTACGGATCTGGCGGTGGTCTGAATGGCATCCAACTTTTCGAGGACGACATCAACTCGTACGCCATCAACGACTTCAACTCTCCGGCCTGCGCAGACAGTGACACCAAGTCATCTGCCACCACCACCGGACCGTGGTCGACTTCTCCTTCCTTGCAGAGCAGCTCTCAGTACCTGACTGCCAAGCTATCCGGAACCGTCAGCGCAAGCTCCGCCACGGTTACCTTCCTCCCGGACCTCAAGGAGTCTGGCAACTATTCTGTCAACCTGTACACGCCCGGCTGCTTGCAAGACGGCACGTGCTCGACCCGAGCACAGGTGAACGTTACCGGCATCATGTCATCCACTGGTAGCAACAAGTTTACTACGTCCCTCTACCAGACTAACAACTTTGACAAGTACGACCAGATCTACTTCGGCTACATCGAGGCGAGCTCAGCAGACGGCTTCCGACCCAGCGTCACCCTGACTCCTTTGGCTGGGCAGAGCATTGATGAAATGACCATTGTTGCTCAGCGAGTCGGGTTCACCCTGATCAACTCGACGGGCGGTCTGAATGGCTTGTTCGACTTCG